TTTAGTGACCCTTATGTGTTGTCCAGAATTATGCAGAAGCGCAGGGTTTAGGCACAGTATATATATCCGGAAAGATCCGCAAGGTGGCCAGCTACTGGTAAATGAAATTGGGAGTCTATAATCAATCATACTATGACTAGTGACAACATTGCGAGTATGCAAGGCTAAGGATCGACTGGATTGCCCGGCTCTAAGATTTTAGTAGTAAGGAGGAGCCTAGTAGGTAGGTCTTACCTAGTGACTTACTACCATTCCTTCGGGGTTAGTTTTTCCCATTCGTAGCCTCGTGAAGGATTTTCCGTTCCTGTTCCTTCTAATCTTAATTTTTATTCACACTATTCCTGTTGTATCTGCACATTGTCATCTCTGGTTATATGATTTGTCATTGTTCTCCTGGAATTAGCAACAAGTAGCGGTCAACGAGGGCTATAATAGCACGCCGTTAATTTATCTTCCGTGTCCGCTGACACAGAAGATGAAACCGCAGTTCCCAGACATGGGGTACGTAGTGCTCGGAACGTAGTAACAAGGAACAACCAAGACTCGGGGATACTTTAGCATTAAGAATTTTTGAACCCACTTAATAAGAATGGAAAGTAAAACCATTTACCTAGCCTGGTAAGTCCTGGCACATGACGTAGCAGAAGTGGACCGGGGGGCCGACGCAGGGGTACCGAAATGGGAATCCCACGTGGGTGACACCGTTTGTTCTTCAACTTGAAACCAATCGACGTGATTGGGCCTTTCCCCATATGGAGAGGCATCTCCCCCTGATTGAACATGGACAGTAGGTCCTAGTCGAGTAATCGGTAGGTGGAGGTACTACATTAGGAGGGAACTCGGCGGAACTTACCGCAGTCAAGGAAACGAAAAAGAAGAGGAAAAAAAAAAAGGTAATATATTATACTGAACCATTTTTAGTGTAGCAAACCATTGTTTGATACCTGTCGTCGGTGGGTTGGACTAGTCCCGGTTCCAGTATAGTTGCTGGAACCCGTCCATCGATCTTTCAACGGTTTGGCAGATCAATTACCGAATAGGGTAAGGTTTTACGACTCAATCGGAGACCGAATGTCTTTCTTTCAGGGTTGAACTGGGAATTGTGTGGGCTCATGAATGGAAAGGATGTGTGTTCCTTCCCGGACCCGAAGCATGGGACCATGGGAGTCGCGGTGGAAAAGACTAGGCGCGTTAGCGACCACATTGTCGGGACCACGGTTAGGGGTGAGACAATTATTAGTGGTATTCCAATTGGTGTATGTACTTTTTTTTTTTTTTTTTTTTGGAGGGTTGTGTTGAGTCTACCTGACTAGTACCGACAATTTTTTGTTCGTGGGCGGTACGTGCGTGCATCGCTTGAGGCTTGCATAGGCCCTGTACTACGTTGGACAAGGAACAGGTACCCGTTGGGCTGGCCTTGAAGGTTATCGCGCTATCGGAAAAGGGAAAGGGAATTAATTAAAGATTCTCTAATCCCGGTCCATCGAAGAACCCCAGCTTACTGGGAGCCCATGTAGAATACCCACTGACCATATGGTATCCCGAACTACGGAGTCGTTGGAGAAACCTAGCAGGATCGATAAAAGTGCCACCGCACGTGGAGACCAGTCGATCGTCTGATCCTGAAGAAAGAGGTCTCGGGTTGAGACACTCGGCCCAAACTCTGTCATATATATAATAATATATATATGTATCCATCTGGTACTAATGAGCCAAAGGTTATATTCAGCGATATTAAGATGTTGAATTGGGCGAGGTGGTGGAGTCGTGATGTTACCTCCCCTGCAAATCCCGCCCAGCAATTTCTCCATCAGGGGCCCGAATCGCGTGCGATGTCGGCGTTACCTCGTGGAAAATGCCCAGTTCTCCCAAATCAGAGTTCATGGAATTGTTTTTCCCAAGTTGAAAGGCGTGTCGGTTGTCGTTCGCCGAGAAACGGCCCCATCATTGAATTGCGATAGACCAATCACGGGCGCTGTGGGGAAAGGAAGCGAAACCGTAGAAAGGCTGAGGACGGAAGAAACTGACTGATATGCCTCCGCGAGATGGGGTTTTGGATCAAGTGACACATACTTCGTAATGGTATCGGCCTAACCATCCGTTAGCTTGGCCGATTAATCTATTTTCCTTTCTGACTTATGTCTAAGCGCCAGTCTAAACCCGCCCTCAATGGTCGATCAATGGCGCCGATAGGAATAGCCACGCGCAATCCCAGACATCAAGCGGACGAGGATGATGTATTCGATACGCTTTCCATGCGAGCGCGTTCCGGCCGAGCGGTTATCGAACATGAAGGTTCTTGATCCTGGCCGATCCTTACCGTGGACGTCACCAACCACACCATCTGCTTTGATTCGTGTAAAACGGTGAAAATAACGTGTCATATCCGTTTGCCTGACCATGTCCGCCGAGGCGCTTCGATCGAGTCTTTCCCGCCAGTGTTTCAGTGTTGGTGTTGGTGCGCCAAACCATGTGATAGTATAGTTGAAAAAAAACCGTATTCGCTTCCAATGGACTGGTTGGATGCCTTCAATAACAAGGTTCTTAAGCTTGCATCAAGAAGTGTCCGCCATGGTCCGGTTCGTTATCTAAGCTGTCTTCCCTCGGGATGTGGGTTTTTTTTTTTTTTTTTTTTTTTTTTTTTTTTTTTTTTTTTTTTTTTTTTTTTTTTTTTTTTTTTTTTTTTTTTTTTTTTTTTTTCCTTTTTCTTTTCTTTTCTTTTTGTCCAGTTTTCTTATTTTGTTTTTACAAGTCTAGTTCAAGTCAGTATTTCGGTTGATAATTGAAAAAAAGAACATGGAGTGGGGATCAACCATGAGTTCAACGATGAAAGAACAATCCAGAACCCAGAGAATGGGTTGATTTTGTTTCTTTTTTTTGCCTTTTAGGGTTTTGTTTTTTTTTCTTTTCCTAACTTTTTTTCCCTGATTTTTACATGGTCGTTCGGTTTTCCCTTTGTAATCTTCGTATTTTGGTAATTTGGTTGGTTTTCGTTAATTGTCAGGGTGAAATCCCCTAATAGCAAAAAGTAATATAATAATACGAATTGTCTTGATCGAAAAAATGCGGATCCCCTCAATTGTGGCTGGCGACGCCTAAGTCAGTGGGGGCCAAACGAACGCGAGAGAAAAGAAGCCGACATTGTGATTATTTATTTTTTTTGATGATTTTCTTTTTTTTTGTTTTCTTTTTTTTTTTCGCTTTCAAAAGTCGTCTATCATGCACACACGAGAGCGGGTACAGTTAATATTGGTAGGTTGAGGAATGGATCTCCATTCCAGGGGCTTTTGGTTGATTGTTAGTACTCGTCGTGACTTGATCCTAGATATGAATTGAGCCCATGCACCACCCGTTAATGTTAATTACCTCAGGGAAGGGTCCTTCCCCCCCTCCCCAAAACCTGAACCACCCATGACTGCTTATCGCCATGTGGTCCCTGGGTCTTGATCTCAAGCACCCGCTCTCCCTATCATGACGATCCTAAGCCCAGAACCTGGCTCCACGTATGCCAGCCGGCGCCCGTTTCCTCCTGGTCCAGTAGTACCCGCCCTAAGTTAGACGCTTAGTTCCAAAGTACGAATCGGCTACGTGCTAACTAGCCACCCTGGCCCCCAATTTAATAAGCAATAGCTGGCCAAAGAGAGACAGGAAAAAAACGGGCACACTACACATGGCGTCCGTTAGCTCCTTGGGGCTGAAAAACCATTTGCGTTTCCCCAATGCCGGGGGCCAGGAGCTTACCTCCCCCGGTCCCTTACGACAGATCCAGCAGCTTGTTCTTGTTCTTGTTTCTCACCATGCGCTTCACCCAGGATCCGCCGTAGCCCTGGGTCCATCGAAAATTCGTAGGCATTTCCAATTGCCTACCCAGCACGTATCTATTCCGAGTAGACACCAGGCATGGTAGGGTGGAGCTAGACGGGAAGATGCGGTTCCCCGAACAGCCTACCTTTTTGGTTGTTTCTTGAGAATGTCGGAAATCGTTGTGCAGAACTATTCTGGATTGAGTATCCCGAGTTAGATCTTTGACCCCGTAGTTGAACGCTTGATGACATAGGAGGGAAATGGGGGGTGGAAGTTGACACAGCAATTTCATCAACAATGAACCTTACCCCATTTGTGTGGACCTTTTTCTTTCCCTTTTTCCCTTTTTTTTCTTTGGTTTGTATTTTGTTCCCACTTGCTCTGACCTGCTTCCTCTCCCTTCCAAGGCTGCACGTGCGTCCAAGAAGAGAACCAAAGTCCAGGGAGAAGAAGAAACATCAAAACAAAACAAAACAAAACAAAAAAAAAAAAAAAGGAAAGGAAACACAAGGGGCAGCCAGTCAGTCAAACGGCAAGATCATCGACGTTGGCTTGCGTTTTAGGACAAAGTCTGACAGGCCTTACTTAGGCAAGTGGCAGTGTGAATCATGCTAACTAAAAAGTATTAGAAATTAATTCTAGGCAAATCAAAAAAATCGAAAATAATAGACAAATGGGATAATAAACGATCACCTTAAAAGTAAAACCGGACTTACCATAAGCTGAGCTGTAGACTAAGTACTAAACCAGAACGAACTGAACTATCTTTGGTTTTCCCCCCCAGGCGAATCTGCTTATTCGCTTACCCTCGTCCGTTTTTCTCCATTTGTTGACCCTAGGATGTTTAAATAGTCGCCGTTGCTCGGTTTCCTAGGGATGGCTTCATTGGTTTCCGTATAATTTTGCATTATTTTTGCCAACAGGGTTCAGTTGTTGGATTTCGACATTACCGCCGTGGTTGTCAAAAGGATTCAGTCTGCGCTTGTCATCTTTCTATACTGTAGGTCCAGTGATCTTTCCCCTCGCCGTTCCCTCCTTCACTGTCCCCTTCTCCCACTTATATGATCACCTTACATGTATGAAGTCTCGGGATTTTTACTGTTCTCTCCCTCTTCGTTAAATTTGTACTGTGTCCGTCTAAATTCAATACCATTCCCATTGTCTGTCTTGCTAAATCAGTGTACTATACCTCTCAAATGTCCTCCATAACACTGGAAACATATCACTTACCTGACATTTCTTATCATGATCGCAGACACCTGGCTAGCTCTCCACTGCGGAGTCTGAGGGGCACGTCAGAGTCATCCGTATCTTCATTCGGACTTCATCCGTCGACTTGGATTGAGCCTTTACAGCCGCGGAATACTAGCCCGCCGAGTACCTCGGGCTCGTATTGGGGTCTACAGAGCCCAAGTGCACCATCCGGCCTCAGGATCTCTCAAGGACAAGACTCAGCAACCAGATCCAGTAGCAGCTCAAGCTCCTCCTCGTCGTTTGAAGCCATTCCGGTCATTTTTGGTACTCCGCTAGCCTGTGAATCCAACTATTTAAGGCCAGAGTACGAAGATCAACCGCCCTCTGGTCTATCCAAGCAGATCCGAGAGGACATCTCGATAGAAAATTCACTGTATGTTGGCCATGGTCTGCACCGAGAGCATCTATTAACAAGAACTTTTATGACAAAGTCCACCGTGCTTTGAGTCATCTATCCAAGCACAGCTGAAGACCGACTTGATGGCAAGTATGGCAGATAATAACACACACAGTACGATACCTAAAACGGTCTATCCATGCAGGCCCATGACATTTCGAACTAACTTCATCTAGGTTATGGCTGGCAAAGCCGGCCATCACATCCTCTTCATCCTTCCTCGATGGCGATGGACCAACAACCGTTTCCCCAACCACAGACTCTCCCACCATCGACTGGATATCATGTCGGATATCATACTCCGCAGGCCACAACACAAGGGTTTTATCAGCCCGGAATTCCCGCACCTCAGTATCTTTGCTCGCCACATCCAGGTCTGCTCCAGAGCCGACAGCATCCCCGAAGGTAGGCCCTCTCCTTACAACCACGGCTCGTGGGACCAAAAGTTACTGACTTGCAGCATTGTATAGTTCGTCCATTCCATATTCCTTTCCCAACAGCCACATTGCAGGCAGCCCTCCAACAATAGCGGAACAATCGTTCACTTCATCGTAAGCTTTCCAGGGTATCTAGAAGCAGCTCACGACACTAACTAGCTTCTAGACCTCCCTCTTACCTAGTTAATCATCAAGAATATTATTATTCCCACGCTCCTTCACTGTCGTCAGTCACACCCCCACACGCTTCCGCTCGAACTTGTATACTGACAATCAAAGTTCCAGGTCAAATCCAAGCTCTTTAGCAGTGAGCCCTCAGTCACAACATATAATGACACCAGGAACAGTATACTCGTCTCCCGATACAGCACCGGCAGGCTCAGACCCTGAACAGCAAGTCCGTGTCATCAGCTTTCGGCCGAAACCGCAATGTTGGGATCATGGATGCAACGGCCGTGAATTTTCAACATTTAGCAATTTGCTGCGTCATCAAAGGGAAAAGTCAGGCGTGGTTGCCAAAGCAGAATGCCCCAGCTGTGGTGCCGTATTTACGCGAACAACAGCTCGAAACATTCATGTCTCCCAAGGGAAATGTAAAGGTGGAGGGAGGGAAACGTCAAGCGAGTGATGATTGCGCCCGTGACGGAGTGGATTCTCCATCGAATCCCAGCGACCTACTTCTACAATAATACTGTTCAACTCGGAGCACCACGTTGCCATTTTCAAAGTCACTGTCAAATGACTGCAGCGAAGCAAGCTCGTCCCTGGGTACCCTTCCAGGAGCGGAGTTCGGCGCCATGGCGAGCCTAGAACAGGGAACGAATTTTCGAATCCTTCTCATGACAAGGATTTAGCGAGTCTGCACGAGAAATATAGACAGCTCTGCATTTTTATCTATATGCATGGTGGAGTAAGGGTACACTAAATTGACAGATATAGCGGTATATACCTTGTACATACTTTCTTCTCGGGCCAAGCCTACACTATACAATTCCAAAGCATAGCCGCGGACCATCTACGCGCTCAAAGATCTCATCTAATATTTCGGTTTTGATACGTGCAGGACCTAAGTACTGCCTTTGATAGCCAAATTCTTTGTTAATGCATATTTCTCGCTGGAAGGAAGAGAAAGGGCCGTATTTGCAGATCAAGGACAGCATGTTCTCGACAGAAGCTGGCATCATGCCTTAGGCGCGTAACCACCACGTGGCCCCTCACATGCTTACATCACGCGTCACCTGACCGGAACATGTCATGCAGTACAAGACGATGGGATGCCTTAATTCCTCAGGGAACACCAAGTGAGTCACTGTATGCTCTCCACCATGTCGCCGGCGTCCTTTTAAGTGTCAACTGCCTATGTTTGTATGACTTTCCAGGACCTTCTCTTTGGAAGGACTTGTCTAGCTTCCGGTCAATTGCGCCCACAACTACATCTCTAGCAGCAATATTTTGAGACCCCAAGATGACTCGATTATCAATAGCATTCTACAACCTATGTAAAGTATCCCAAGCTTGCTGGCACTTACACTGTTTATTGCCCCCTCGCATACCTCGGTCTAGCCTGGTACCTATCTGAGTCATTATCTGTTCAACCGCTCGCCTCATCACGCTGTTCCGATTCAGAACCACGGGCTGCTTTTGATATACTTTGCCTTGAAGAGCCTGAAGTATGGCGTCCATCTTTACGTACGATCCTGACCCTCCAAGGGTCTCTTCTCCGTGGTCCACCTCCGGATCCTCCACTCCGCAGGTAGCTGGGACAGGGGGCCGTACTGTGACTCGGAATCAGTCCGCTACCAATCTGGATCGTCCAGATCCCAATGTCTTGTCTGACTATGGCATTACGAAGCTAGAGCCGGAGCCGCAAGAAGGACCAACTGAGTACAAGCTGCATCTTCTTCTTCGAGCAAGGAGACTCTATACAGCTATGTCCACCGGCCATCTCGTTGGTGGTTCCTATCACTCCCGGTTGCCTTTGTCAACCTCGGTTCCAACATCTTCCAGTTATGAATCAGCCTCGAAACAATTCCAAGCTCGCTCTACCCAGAGCCGTCAGCAAAGATTGCAGCAATTGACAACTCAACTTCTGTGGCGCTTACAGCAGTCCTCGCCTTTTCATTCGTCCACCGCTGCCAATCTTGTGCTCCCCGTTCTCCCAGAGGCAGCATTGGAGCTTGGTATCCCTCAGAAACCGGCTCGCTTACTCCCTGGTCTTGAGGAGAGCCAGGGTGCTCTGTACGAGATCGGAGTTGCCGACGATGGCACTTTTGTCGGACTCACTTACGACGAGCTGGAAGAGAGTCTGTTGAATTTACAGGTGATGGCTGGTAGCCTTGGCTGCAAGGTCGAAATTCTTCGCCGGGTAATCGTTGGGAATTGCGAGTGGACCGAGGACACCTGTATGCCAAATGCTGAAGTTGGCAAAGCTCATGCGGAAGACCTTTGGGTTGCTGAAGCTTTAGTGAGTCCGGATTGGGATTATTACCGAATTGAATCTCCAAAGAATGGTTCCCACGAGGGCAAGTCGTCTTCGCTGGCGGCCAGACAAGGAGGACTGGAGGGCGATCACTCCAAAACGGAGCAAATACGCATTTCCATCACTGGCCCAACTACAGCTGGAAAATCGTCGCTTTTGGGCACACTGACCTCATCTGTCCTCGACAATGGAAGAGGCACCAGCAGACTTGGTTTACTCAAGCATCGGCATGAAATTTCTTCCGGAGTCACTAGCTCAGTTGCACATGAACTGATAGGGTATGCCGCCAATGGAGTGTCCGAGGATACCCTCGAGGTGGTCAATTATTCATCGGGCAATGTTGCAGCGTGGGACGATGTACATGCAGCCTCGGCACAGGGGCGTCTAGCATTTGTCTCTGACCTCCCGGGATCAGTTCGTTATCTAAAGTCTACGCTTCGGGGTCTAGTTAGCTGGGCCCCACACTATGTATTCCTGTGTATCCCGGCAAATTGTGACGATGAGGCCGTAATGGAGCCTCAGCCCGATTCCGCGGAGCAAACTACCGATATCAACTTGGCATTGTCGCACCTCGACCTCTGCAATAAGTTAGAGATCCCTACAATAGTGGTCATTACCAAGATGGACCTTGCGTCTCGCGCTAGCTTGAAACAAAATCTTACGAAAGTTCTATCGGCGTTGAAACTTTCCGGCAAAAAGCCCGCCATGCTGCCCGTACAACCTGGCAGTCCTGAGGCTTCACTAGACCTGCATCAGGTCGGACCAAAGGATAGTATGGAAATCAAGAAGCTGATCGCTACTACCGAAAATTGGTCTTCCACCGTTCCAATAATCCTTACAAGTGCCGTCGATGGCTCTGGAATAGGGAGGTTACATGCTTTGCTGGGAAATCTCCCAATCCCTGCAAGACCATCACTCCGAACCATTTCACCGTCGAAGGCACTACCACCACCGGCACTTCCTACAAACATTTTTGATGTTGACGAAGTGTTTGCCATCCCTCCGTCGAAAGTCTACTCAATGTCCGCGGAGCAGTCCTCAAAGGAGAACCACGGGGTGGTTCTCTGTGGCTTGGTCCGCTACGGATCAATTTCAATAGGTGACGAGCTGGTCATCGGACCTCTCCTTGACAACGCTCTACTGGAACATGGAGGTAGGGTTCGTTCAGAGCGGCGCTCAGACACCCAGCCCCAGTCTGAACCTTTTCGGAGTAGGCCATCATCGGGGGACTTTTCCACCTCGTTTGTCCAAGGATCCTTTCCGGGAAAGATACCCTATCCAACTCAAGCACACTGGCAGCGTGTCCGTGTAGTCAGTGTTCGGAACCTCCGATTGCCCGTCCGGAAGTTGGTTGAAGACCAAGTAGGCACAGTAGGCGTGGAGCCCCTCCCCAGTTCCCAAGACGAGCCACCTCCTCGGCTTGGCCGGGTTCGGAAAGGAATCATCCTGGCCAACTTTCCAGCACCGCCTGCCAACTCCATTCCCAAATCACTATTATTCCACACAGGCTTTGTCGCTAGCTTTGACTCTAGTCAGTTCGCTTCATCGCTATCCCCACCACTACTTCTGGGAGGGAATGCGATCGTATACATTGCCAACATTCGGTCCACTGTAAAAGTGACTTGTATGGCACTTGCGGATGATGAAGTCGTCTCTTCACCTCCATCGCCAACAGAACCTGAGTTCTTCAGCTTTGATAGCGATGCGAATGATCGCGATAAAAGTGACCAATCCGAACTCAACCATATGATTAGGTCTTCGGCCAATTCGAATGTTGGGGATGTCAAGATTACATGTTGCTTCGTGGCGTCGGTCGAATGGGTTGAAGTTGGGTCTCGCATACTTCTCATGCCAGGGGCATCGGCTGCTTTGGCTTCTGCACATGGCTCAGGCTTACCTTCCGGACTAGAGGGGTTTGTTGGTCGGGTTTGTGACGTGGTTTCCACCGCAGATTCCAGTAAATAATAGGATCCACTGCTAGCCATCAAAGTTGTCTGATGTAAGGAAGATCATGTAGTTACATGCTAGGACTTTTCTTTTCTTTTTATGTTATCCAATTCACACGCTGTTGTATGTTTTCCTGAATGCTTTGAATGTAGTTGTACTCGGTTAGGTACTATATTTGTAGAACTAAGCCACTGGCACGTGCGGTGTGGGGAAAGGTGACTGATCGGCCCAAGGCGGCGACCGTGCCGCTGTTAGTGTGACTTTAAATGACCTCAGGCTCACGGATGACCCCAAACTTGACCAACAAAGAAGTCGGCATTCCTTCCACAACCCACTAAATTTGCTCGACTCCCAACGATACTGTGCAATATATGAAGTTCTCCTGACCAGAACGGTTGTGGAACGATTTGTCCCTCATGGGTACTTCTGAAGTGTCTGAAACTTGACCGGATTTGATTGGATAGGCATCATTCTGTGGTACGAGCCATTTGGTGGTTCCCGCCGCCGCAACCTCGGCTCATTAATATTACCTACTTCGTTTTACCCCCGGATTTGACCCGCCAGATTCCGCATCAAACAATCAGGAGCAATCGCGACATAAGAAGGACGATCTTCGTACTGACACCGCTACATTCTCCTTCGCTTGTTTGTGTTGGCCTTGTAATGCCCCATAGATATCTGGAGTATCTGTGCGCAGTTACTAGTACGCAATGACCTCATCTGTCAATAACCTGGCAGAGGCCAGCAGCGCGTACGCGGGTTTTAGAATCAACACCGATTTAAATCAGCACTCGGATGACGACGATGAGTTTCTTTCAAGTGCGAGTACGACTTCTGAGGGGGTTCAAGAGCATCTCCTGGAGTACAAGCAACCTGCATTAGAATCTATGAATTGCCAACAGGGGACCCTGTGCGACCCCACAGCAATATCATCTTCGAACAGCTTGCGGGCTCAGGAAGTTGAGAGGTCCGGGGTGGAACCGGTAGAAAATAACTTCGTACGCGATGGCAAAGCTCTGGAGGTTAGCCGACGGCCTTTGCATTTGCTTGACCTACCCATGGATATATTGCAGGTAATCATTAAAGAAGTAAGCACGGGTCGACTTCCTTTTAGATCACCCTTTCCCTCTGTTGCTGATTATAGCCATCTTTAACGATATAGGTGACACATACCAACGACCTCACCTCGCTAGCTCTAACATGTTCCAGTCTGCATGCTTTAGCGATTCCTCAAATGTATTCTCGGTTTGATATCGTATGGCCAGAACCAATGTCACCGTCTGTCCATCCCACGGGTGTCGATGCTCTTTCTTACGGATTAGCAACATTAGTAATGGGCGAAGATGTTTTTCACGAGCTTCCTCCACCCCATCGTCCCGTTGCGCCCTGCCATCACTGCGGCTGTAGCGCCCAGCATGTTCAACACGGCCCCCGACTTGAGGCAGATGGCATACGGAGGATACGTCGAGGGAATCACTATGCGCAGTATACACGCAAATTTTCTGTGGGCAATGGGCCGCCAGAGTGTGTCCAAGAGTACTCTGTGACGAAAGAGACGGGCAAAATGCTGGGAACTCTGGTAGCGCTGGCAATCGCTCGCATGATAAACCTAGAGTCTTTCATTTGGGATATGCCGACTGGCGTTTTGCGGGACGTCTGGATAGCGCTGTCATCTCTAGCAGATCGACCGGGACATGACTGCCGTCTGGAACGTGTTTGGGTTCGTTGGCACGATAACTCCATGATACGCATAGTTCGGACACCATCAGACATGACACTACCGGGCATGCCGTCTCCCTTCATCTCTCCATCTGCTAGATCAACGCGTCTACAAAATTACGCCCATGTAGAGTATCCTACTCTTTCGATTTTACCCCCGCTGAAGAGCTTAAGCGTTCTCGATATAGATGAGTCATCATATATCGAGGAAATGGCTGTACTCATTGAGCGCTCACGAGGGCGCTTAAAAGAACTACGCATCGGGATTTCCTCGAGAGTCTACCAATACAATTGGTTAAAAGCATTAGGAGGCTGGTCTCCTGTACAACAAGACGCGTCCAACCCTGTGGTGTCCGGTTGGCCTAAAGTTGGCGGTGTACTCGGTGTCCTCCTGGGTAATCCCCACACTCAATTTCCCTTTGAACTAGCTGCCGATCAGCCTTCCTCGAAAGAAGTGCAACCGGGTCAGCATGGCAGTCACCAGGGGCTTAGCGGGACGGTTCCGCCAGCTGGGGATATTGCTAGTAACGGCACTTCTAATGGACATTCGACTACACAACTTCCGGATACGGCACCTCTAGAGCACTCTCCCAAAACCACCGGCGCTTCTAGGATAGATAGTGTGACATCTCCCCAAGTGACCGAGGAGCCATATCCCACCCAACCACCGAGACCTGGAGATCTACCAGAACCATCAAGCAAGCGTGTCGGCATCAACAAGCCCTTTGCATCCGCCTCAGCGACTAGCCCTAAGTCTGACAGATTGAAGTTGGAGGTCTTGGAACTAGAGCGCGTCTCTTTGTCCATCCCAGTCATGATGCACGCGATCGATTGGACCCGGATCACGACCCTGACAATCCTTCGCTGCGATGGTCATGAAAAGCTCTGGAGGGCGCTCCGTCGCCAGTTTTCTCCGTCCGCGGCACTGCGCGGTAGTCCAAAACCAGAAAATAAAGACATAAATAGCTCATCCTCGGAGTACTCTCTAAAGCTCAAGCATATTCACACAGATGCTGTATCCCCATACCTGTTACTCTTTATTAAGGATGCCATTGCGCCTAATACACTGGAGACCTTATTTTTACATGAAGCCCCGATGTACGACTCTATCGTTCATGTTGACGCTATCTATCGAAATGTGATCCGTAACCATCGAACAAGCTTGAAACACATCTTAGTTGATAGCACAGAGCGGTCACCTGGTGGAATCGAAATTAGCACTAATCGCTGGCGTAAGTGGATGTTCACCCGGGAAATGATCTCGTTCATTACTAGCGGCCGTATGCCGCGGCTGCGCGAACTATCGATGACGATGCATTCCAAGGACTGGGTAAATTTGTCTCTCTCAACACTGTGTGGTTAATCCCGTGCTAACTCTCTTCAGCACTACTTTCTCCAGAGGCTCCCTAATATGCCCCAGTTACGCGCCCTTCATATTCCTCACATCACCAATCCTATTCACCGAGACCCGAAGGAACTCGCATTACAGATCCTTGATATTATCACTATTCGCACCGAAGTTGGAATAAGCTACATTGGAATGATCAATAAGTGCTACGAAATCCTTGAGGGCAAGCGTGGTGAGAAAGACGATTTTGATGATGCGGACGACAGCCCCAGCGAAGGCTTTGTGCCAGGCAGTGATGACTGGGCACCGTCTGACACAGATGATGATGATTCGGATGACGGCGGCGCCGGGAGCGCCATAGAGTCAAACTCAGAACTCTCGTCAGACGACCACAGTTCGTCTGATGGATACGACTCCGATCTCGAGAGCAGCAAATCGCGCGTGGCTTTTCGGCTACGGGAAATTCTATTTTATGATGATAAGATCTCCATCTTCAAGGCACGACATGGAGTTCTATGACCTGCGAGCTTGTTTATTGTCACTGACTTGGTGTTGGGTGATTTCATTGGATTACTTCTTTTTCTTTCGCTTCCTCAGGATTCTTGTTTTCCTTGTGACCTTTGAGATACCATTTGATCGGACTGGGGCAGAGTAGAATTCATATTTCTGTCTATCTATTTGATGCTGGTGTGATGTTGCATGTTTCGGGTTATGAGAATGAACACTGCTGCATCACATGCTTCTCTCGCGTGTACGCTTGGTAGGCACATCAATAGAAGCTTTCATTTCTGGAATCTATTGCCCAAGGACTGCATTAAGTTACTATATTGTGTAGAACCTTCTTGTCAGCTTCTATGCATTGTATGACTAAGCTATGCGACAGTTAACTAGTTGCGAGTAACGTGAGAGTGGATGACTAAGCCTGAACCACCTCTGCAATCACCGCCGCAAGACAGCAATCGCAAGGCTTGAAGGTACATCTGGTCCCGCCCAACCCGCCAGTGTTCAGATATCAAGGCTGTATTAATACTCATATTAATACGAGCATTCTTTCTTCGACCTGATTTTTCGGCGTTTTGCGCGTAACCGTCACCATGAAGCTCGTCCGGTACGTTGCTCCAAGCTGTTGAAGAGCTGTTTCCACAAGCAATTCGCAACCGTAAGCTAGCCGACTGATACTGACATGGTTTGCTTCCAGGTTTTTGATGAAGTGCGCCAATGAGACGGTGACTATTGAGTTGAAGAATGGTCAGTCCGTCCCTGCCGCAGCTCTGGCAATCCCACCGATTACAGTCGCACACGTCCCGTCAGACGTCTTTTCTTTCCTGTCCTTTCTAACACTTCACCTCCAGGCACAATCCTCCATGGCACAATCACCTCGGTCTCCCCGCAGATGAACACCTCGCTGCGCACCGTCAAGATGACGCCCAAGGGCCGCGACCCTATCTCGCTCGACACCATCAACATCCGAGGCTCGACGATCCGCTACTACATTCTCCCGGACAGTCTGCCACTGGATACTCTCCTTGTCGACGACCAGCCGAAGCCTAAGAACAAGGCGCGCAAGGAAGCTGACCGCGGTGGTCGCGGTGGCGGCGGCGGCCGTGGTGGCCCTCGCGGCAGGGGCCGTGGACGCGGCCGGGGACGTGGACGTGGATTCTAAACGGGAACATAGACAATGGCTAGGAGTTCTTCTCTTCTTCCGATTTGATTCATTTTGGGTGATATCTGCGATGGTTTCATTTTTGCACCTCGAGGGTTCAGCTTCTATTATTCCTTTGTGCAATGGGCGGGAAAAAAGAGAGTTCTAATTCACCTTTTTTTTTTCTTTCTTTTTCATAAATTTTGTCGGATTCTGGTCGTATGCATCAGCGGCAGAGGGAGCGCTTGAAATCAGTGAGACTATCGGTCCTCAGATGCGGTTGTTTTTTGACATGATTGACAGACAGCCATACCTCGGGTCTCGTGCAAGCTCAAGGCATGATTAGGCTCTTGTCGCCGGGGGGAGAGTGGGTTTTATCACGCATGAACGAGGGAGCGAGATCATCGGACATTGCTGCAAGCTGATACGTGTTGATGGGAGGATCCATGGATTGACATCTAACAGAAGGATGGGTGGCATGGCCTGCCATACGACACTTGAAAACGATTTATCTCGCAGAAATATGATCAACCCTTGGAAAAGAATATGTGACGGATAACGTCCACCGGCCTGTAAAGCATCACTCAATCATCAGTCATATCGGTCATTAGTCTATATTGCTCTATTTTGATCTCCCTATATCCGTAGTCTAATCATCATCACCAGATCATGCCGTTTCCTTCCATATCCGAACAATAACCAACTTCTCCCACCCAGCCTGCTGGCCACTGTTCCCAACCGTCTCTGCCTGCCATCCATTCCCCCAAGCCCTTATCCTCTCCTTAACCTCCTGCGGCCGATTCTGCGCACAAAACAACACATATGCCACCCCACGGCCAGGAGCCAACAACCCCGGGATCTCATCCAACAACCGATCCGTTGTCTCCATCCCATCTCGGCCCCCGGCATACGTCAGCGACAAGAAGTACGAGTCGCGCTCGAACTTGGCAGACCTCGACATTCCCGTCTCGTCGACATCCTGTTCCGTAACGGAGGGTAACCGTGGCAGGTCCTCGCTGGGCACATACGGCGGATTGAACAGAAGGACATCCACGCTGCCTGGGCGAAGGGAGCTCCCTAGATCGGCCATGACCGAGGACAAATACACCGTCTTCGGACTGTTGGCTTCTTCTGATTCTGTATCCGTTTGGCGTTCTTTAATTGCTTTATTGGCTGTTTCGCGGGTCGCGATGCAGGCATTCCGATTCACATCTATTCCTAGAGGAAGGATATCGCGCCGTCCAAAGATCACTTGCGAATTGGCTGCTACGAAGCCGAGCACGACTCCCGAACCGGTTCCAATCTCAACGACAAGTGGGGATGCGGTGGATTGGTCCGGGGACGAGGGGGTAGCGTTGAAGCGCTGAGTGAGCCATGCTGACTCGGATGTGGAGGCAAGGGTGTCGAGGAAGAGGTAGGAGTCTTCGGAGGGTTCGTAAATGGTGTCGAAGGAGACGTGGGATGTGCACGGAGTGGGGAGCATTTTCATGTATTTCCCTTGTTATATCCACACACACACACCAGTTGGCATTGATCACCCAATATAGCCAGTTATGAATATCAAAACAGTCGTCAATAGAACACCAACATGCACCATGAAACAAATCGTAACAAATATACTAGTAGTGATACCCAATGATCCTAAATAAATGCAATAATTGAACTCCCGACAAGTTCAATCAGATAACCCGATAAAAAAAAGCCTAATCCCAGCCCTCCAATTGGCCAATCACTCTCCGCCTCCGCCGAACCGCGGCAATACAGTACATCATCATCATCATCAATCGACTCTCCTCTAAGCCAACACCGACACCAAGTCCCAATTACACCAAACCACCACAATGCGCGCCTTATCCCGCCTCTTAATGGCTACGCCCTCAACTATGGGCTCCAAATCTAGCCTCAGCGAAGCTCTCGCCCTCCTCCCTCCTCTCCAACTCTACCGTCGCATCCTCCGCGTCCACCGCAAGAAACTCGACCCCGAGATGCGCATCCTCGGCGACTCCTACCTGAAGAGCGAGTTTAGGGCTCATAGGAATGTGGAGAATCCGTTGCATATTGTATGCCTTTTTTTTAATTCTTTCTCTTGTTATGTATATACTGTGTGGGGTTACATGAAGCTAATATTGCTGGAATGAATATAGATCGGCTTCTTGACGGAGTGGCAATTATATGCCCAGAAGTTGGAGGGTGATACCTGGGTTGGGGAGAAGTTGGATAAGGATAAATTGGATAAGATGAGTGGTATGTTTCTTTGATTCCATTACTTTGTCATACTCGTTCTCGTTCTCTTTTGGGTGTATGTCAGGCTAACTATTAGTATTATACAGACCAGCAAATCGGCCAATTATACGAACTCATGAACGCTATCAAGAACACGGAGGGCGAGGGCGAGGGCGAGGGTGAGCAGAAATGAGTGAATGAGGTTGTTTCCATGATACTACTCTATGATTATCGAATTATCTTGTCCATTGCAGTCCCCCATGTTAGAGGGTATATTGGGATATGGTCCGACGCTGATAGACCATTCCCAACCCTTTCAGTGTCTTGGATAGGAAGGGCACCATGCTGGATATTATATGGTCCGGATAAGGACGTGCTAGACATGCAGTCAACGACACAGGGTCCTGGTGTATAATAGAATGTACTATATTATATTGTTGGCAGCATATACATACATATATCTATTCCCTCGATAAATAGAATCCATGTAAGGGTTACTATTACTGTATCTGGAACAGTACTAATATACAGTTACACATGCATAAATCATGCATTGGCATATGCATATATCAATAACATACAATCAACCAAAAATAAACCAAGAAATGAAAAATACATGCATCCGGCTATTCTTAAACCCCCACCAATCAACACCATATCCGGCTCACGCCCTTCCCAAAACAAAACAAGCACCATAAAAAAAATGGAATCAATGACTAATCATACGATAAGATCCAGTTAAACTTTTATATACCCCAGAAAAGCAATCTACAACATCCTTCAATTCCCCCAGAACTTATCCCAGAAACCCATCCTAGTAAATTCCCCCTCCCAACCCCCCAAACTACACAAGAACCAAAACCAAACCAAACAAGAAAACAAAATCAAAAAGAAACAAGGAAAGGAAAGCAAAAGAAAGAAAATGCCGTCAATCCTCGAAGACCCCACCACAATCCTCCCACCTCCCCAACCCGCCCTCCAAGCCTCCCAAACCCTAACCCCCCGATCCGCCCACCTGAAAGACGGCTCCCCCGTAACCCTATACCCAATTGCCAATGGACCGCAAAGCATCCCCTCCGACCTGGTCGCCTTGCTCCACCGCGAGTTCAGCGCCGAGATTCAGGCCGGGTGTACGTATCCCATGGAGGAGCCGATGACGTTGGAGCGTTTCGCGGAGTATTGGTTTGGGACTTTTGCCGTTGTGGCTGTTCTTGGGGAGGAGAATGAGAATGGGGGGTTGAGGGAGGGGAGGGATTGGGAGAAGGAGTGCTTGGGGACGTTTTATATTAAACCTAATTATCCTGGTTCGTTTCCTTTCTTTCCCTTGTTTTTTTTTCGTTGGGTGATTTGTTTGTGTTTGTTTGTTTGAGAGAGTGGAGGAAGTGCCGGGGGTTTAGTGAGTGAGTATGTGAGTGCTGATATGGTATTATTCTATATATGGCAGGTCGGTGTTCGCATGTTTGCAATGCAGGATTCCTGACAACAGTTGCTGCGCGAGGCCGTGGAGTGGGTATCGTCATGGGCGAGACGTATCTGCAGTTTGCGCCGAAGTTGGTAAGTATTCTCTTTTTTTTTTTGGTGTCATTCTTTTGGTTTGGATGTATGTATGTGTGTGTGTGTTATGTCGGGTGTTGACTGCTGCGTTAGGGTTACAAATACTCCGTCTTTAACCTGGTCTTTGAGAACAATGTTGCGTCGGTTAAGATCTGGGAACGGTTGGGGTTCAAAATCATTGGTCGCGTGCCTGGGGCAGCGCGGTTGGCGAATAGTGAGGAGTTGGTGGATGCATTGATTATTGGGAGGGAGTTGGTTTAGTTGAGTATTTATCAGCAAGGCATGAGGGTTTAGATGGGGTGTTTTTATATATAGATTTATAGATTGAATAGATCCATTGGTTTACATCTTTCTTCTTCTTTGAGGATTGTTGGCTTGTGGGGATAATGAATGATGAGTACCTTTGCTTGGGTTATCTTAAGATAGGGTTAACTGTTATTCTCGGGTGATTACTTTTCCTACTCATAAAGAGAATGTAAATATACGTCCTGAAAGGCATGTGAGATTTATTGAAAGTGTTAAAGGTCCTGTTGGCTATATCAAATGCAATTAATTGGTAAATGCTGAGAAAAAAGCTGGAGTAAAGAAAAAATAATAATAAAAAAAATTCATGAAAAACAATGCCATGCACCATACAAGAACGCTAATCTCAATCACAATGCGAGTGGGGAATCAAGAAAACCAGTCTGACCCGCAACGATATGGTATATGGCGACACCACAAAGTACCCGAACCGCAATGCACATAATACAGGGGCATTAAATATGCGAGTATAAAGTGAAATAGTACATAAAACAGACTCCGATGATGATGAGGGTGGTTATGATACGGTGAAAAGGACTCCGTCGCAGACAGATTCGAGCAATTTATCGCCACGGCGGACGTTCACTCGGCTTACTGTGAGTGCCCGCACTGCTATCCCGGCCGCTTTTGTTTCGCGGCAAAGGAAGCAAGCTGATGCGACGACTGCCCCCATGACCCAGTGCGGTGCCCGGGCGTTCAGCCTTGGTGGGACTGAGCAGGCCACGGTTATAATCGTGTGAGACACTGCGGCCAAATGACATCCCGGCAAAGCTTTGTCGGCTTCGAGGGGTGTTGTTAATGCCTTCCGCCCCCGGCGGACGTCGAAGCTTGCTGTAAGGTGGAGGGTCGAGGAGGGAACGATTGGGCGTGGGAGAGCCGGAGCGGTTAGGGCTGCGTGATGCAAGGCGACTGGAAACGCGGCTGGAGACACGGCTGGGGGACCGTGTTGTTGAGGGAGCGGGAGATGCAGCAAGATCCCGACGGGACATCATTGATAAGGGACGGGAGGTGCGGCTTGGAGCTGAGGACTTGCGGAATGATGTGCTCGATTTGTAGACATGACCGACTTCCAGATCATTGGTGTTCACACTCGAATTCCATCGTGGGCGATTGTCCTTGGCAGGTGGAGGCAGGCGTGGCACCTTCTTCGCAGCTGGAGTAGGTGTGAATAGACCACTTGGCTTGGAGGGAGATGGGGCTGTCAGCGTCGGTTTCGGGATCGCCGATTTCTTGCTCGTCAGGGTTGTCGTGGGCTGGGGTATCCCTGAGAATCGTCGAACCTTGGCCACGGTACTCCGGGCGACTGAGCCCACAGAACTGCCCCGTCTGCTAGAGCTTCCCAGAGAAGCACCCGTGCCCTTGTTAGCAGGAGTCATGACCACCGATGAGGGTGGGGAGCTGCCGGGAGTGTCGATAAGACTGGTGGCGGGACTGTCCATCGTGACAATAGTTGATATAGAGTCGCGCAAGTGCTGGCCCGGGGCCACGTTGTATTCCGTAAGCGAGGAATCCATCACCTCCACGCTCCTTTTCAGCGCATCCATCCTCGACGCCATGTCTGACAGGAGGTTCACCGTCTCGCCATTCACCGTCAGTTGATCCTTCACCCCCTTCTCAATAAGAGATATAACTCGTTCGATGGCAGGGATGTAGTGCTGCTTTTTGGCCTCGTAACTCTCAACGCGCTTCGCTAGTCCCGCCGGGTTATGCACATGGGCGCCTGTTTCAAGGGCTTCTTGCAACTTGGCAATGCTTCGTTCGACCGACAGGAACATTTTCCGCGCTTGCATGCCAGCATTGCGGAAAACAAGAACCCACCGGTCCTCACTGAACTCCTTCCGCAGAGCTTCCGCATCTGCCTCCAGGGTCCTATAGCTCTGCTCTAGGCCTTTTCGCCGCTCTTCCATCTCCGCACAGGCGCTGGGGAAAATCCGCTCCGCTCTGCATTGAAACATGGACAATCGCATGGGCAAGAACGCAAGGGATGCCCGCAAGGGTTGTATGCGGGCAAATACAGCAATGAGATCCGCATGCTCCGAGTCATCCTGTGGGGTTTGGATGAGCGGGGTATCCAGGGTCGGTGGCGCATCGAATAAGATACTATGTCGGTTACTATTCGAAAAACTGCCGTTATTTGGTGTTTCCTCGACGATGGTCTCCAACTCGCTAATATCGAGCCCCGAGCTATTCGACTCCTGTTCAGCAGCCCATGCATTTGCCATGTTGATGTGTCGCTTCTCTTCGATCTCGAAGAGTAGTCGGCTCAGACTCTCAACCTCGGCGCTGACATCTCCCAGAATGGTATTCCAGAGCTCCTCCCATTCCATGGCCAGCTCCACTTGTTCCTTCACATTTCGAAGCCGGTTCTTGATATCTGCCCAGCTCTGTAATATACCGTCCATCTGGATCACAATGGTCTTCAAACTGTCGGCACTGACGTCGCCAATGTCGTCTCGGAGCTGCACATCTTCAATGGCTTTCACGTAAATGTTCATCAGACCTTCGAACCGCGTAATTGCTTTGTCGATACCGTCTAACCCTTCGCGTCCGCCGGCTGCCGCCCACTCTACTTCATCCTCCGCATCGAGACCACTCAACACATCGGAGGCCTTCTTTATCCATATCTGAATTTGCGATGCGGACCCCGTGAGAGATTTGACGGCCAATGGCGCGTTTGGTATTGCGGCAATGCTGGCTTCTAGGGACGACGGTTGGGGCAGTGGGATGGAAGTAAGCTGGGTTAGCTGGTGACTGAAGGACGCGCGAGAGAAGGAGTATATTGATTCGGGGCGCTGCGAGCCTTGGGGGTTAAAGTAAGATTGTACGTTCGAATTGGCGGACGGTGGACGCGGCGAATCTTTTGGTGGAGGCGGAGGGGGTTGCTGAGCTTCATTGTCACCGGTACTTTGGATGAACTTCTCGAAATCTGTTTGGACATGTTCGACCTGTGTGTTAGGGGGAGCACCTGATTCGATGTCCACCGGCGCTGGCGGAGACGCAACGGCAGCCATGGCCACTGGGGCTTCTTCCGGTTCCTCCACGTCTTCCACTTCTCGGGTTGGGCTGGCGTCTGCTGTTGGTGTTTGATCGACGAGGGTTTCTTCGACGGGATCTTGGTTTGCGACCGACGTCAAGCTTTCCTCGACAGGTTCTACCGGTTCTGACTCCACTGGGAAAGGCAATTCTGTGTCCGGGTCGTGAACCTCCAGGTAGGTCGACTCAGTCTGTTGCGGTTGTCTACCTTTACCACCAAAATGTACACCATTCCACGACCGGCCTCGCTTTTCAATCTTGATCGAATGGTCTTTGTTGCGGCTGTCTAATTCCTTGATATGCTCCTCGGGGATCCGACCAACGGCACCGGGGCTGCGAGTGGGAGTCGCGGTCTTGTGACTCCCATCCAATAGCTTGACGCGCGCTGCTAGACCAGGAGACAAGCGACGAAGGATGGAGGGACGAATGAGGGATTTGTCCGACCCCGGTTGATCGTGGATGTCGTCGAGATCGTCGTCGTGAAGGCTACTCCCAAGACTTCCAAGACTGCGGAGACTGCGCAGGGATGATTTCGACTTGATTCGTCGCGGCGATGAATTCTCTGGAGGAGAGACGGCGACGGCGGGAGGTGGAGGAGGAGGGGGAGAAGATAGCAAGTGCGATAATGACGATGTCGTGGGCGTCTTCGGACCGGAATCCGGGTGGGTGGGTGCAGTTGTGACAGTTGACGTGGTGAACATGGTACGTATTGACGGGGCGACCGCCCTGGTCTGTTTGTGTTTGGTGCAGTAGTGTGAAGATAGCGTGGAATGTGGTTGGAGCAAATCAACGTTCTTTGGGCGCGTCTTTGGGTTCTTGGGGGTGGACTTTGTTGGTATGCCAGACGGTCACTCCCCCCTTTCCTGATCGCTTTTTTTTGTTGGTGGTCTGCAAGTATAAATAAAGAACAATCAAATATATCAGACTAGTAAGCCAGCCACTAGTTAGTATTTATGTGCAGTCAGACGAGTTGCAAGATTAGTCCACGAGTGTGAGTGCCTCTTGAAAAAATAACAATTGGGGGCGATACAAATGATCGGCTACATGGTAAGTCAGTAACGTAGGAGTCGTAGTAGTTGTTGTTAGTTGTTGAGGTGGTATTTTTTGGTTTTCTTTGGTTTGGGCAGCGGGTAATCTGGCGGCGGAGGGAACCTTAAAAGACCGCAGGTGAAATTGGGAAAATTAAATTAAAAAGGAAATTAAAACCAAAAAAAAAAAAGGGTATGAAATCGGAATGACATTTTCATCTTCTCCCTTGTTTTCCGGAAGCCGTTGATCGTTCCTTCAGGAGAACACCACTAGTAGTGTATATTTCCCCTTCCAGGTAAGGTCGTCATCTCGTCTCTTTTTCAATTCTCGGATTCTTCTTTTTCTCTTTTCCTTTCGACTATTTTCTGTCTTGGTTTTTCTTCTCTTCCCTTTTCTCTCATGTTGTTGAAATTCCTCAATTCACCAATCCTCTTTTCTGTTACCGGTTTCTTCACATGTAGAATCAAACCTAACCTTAAAAAACAACCCGTGGTCAGGTATGTTGTAATTCATGGTATGTTTGGTACCGTCCACACACACGGAGTTCTCTTCTGTTATGTACACATCCCGTGGGAACCCAACTGGAACTCCGAAATAATCATTTTAGGCATATCCCCAAAATCATGTAGTTGTTGAAAGAAACATTAAATATAGAGAATAAGAAAGACACAAAAGTGACAAAATTGGCAAAATGGGCAAAATTGTTCATAATCTCAGCCAAAAAGAAGTATATAAATATGAACCACCTGAGAAGAGCAAATCCATCGAAAAATAAAAAAAAAAAAAAAAAAAAAAAAAAAAACCAAAAAAAAAAAAAAAAAAAAAAAAAAAAAGAAAACTCCCACATAGCAAGCAAGTCTCCAGCAAGTAAGGGGTATCAAAGTGGACAGCAAACA